AAGGAGGGGAGATAAGGACGATAGATGTTTGATAGGAAAGAAGAAGCAAACCACACCAGAGCACCCGCCAATCACCCAAATTGAAAATTTACAAACTCAAAATTAACGGAATACAGAGCACTTTTGAACAAGTTGGAAAGAGCCGTAGTATTCACCCACATTTAAAGAACCTACCATATTTGTTCAGCTTCACAGCAATCGTACGATAGATGTTGTTCAGAATGCCGATGACCACAGCATAACCAATCGTGGGCAGAAGATTGTTCATGGTGGTGATGATACCAAGGTTTTGCGGCGCGTTCTTCTTCATCCAGGCCTCCGCCCAGAAATAGGCCAGCATGGTGAAAAAGGCAACGGTGAGGCAGAAGCTGATGATGGGGAGCGTAACCAGGTAAAACTTGAGCACTCTCTTCCACTTTGGGTAGACGGGCTCGGGGTTGCCTGTGACCAGATTCCTGCCCATGGTGCCGTAGTAGTCAGCCCTGGGCTCCTCAAAACTACCAGGGAGACAAACAGAAAAGTTTAGTCTTAGTAGAGGTTTTACTGCGCTCGCAACTGCATAAGGTCAGTTGAGTGCCAGAAGATTAGAAGTGTTACAAGAGAGTAACAAACACAAAAAAGGAGGAGGAGAGATAAGTACGACAGAGGTTTGATAGGAAAGAATAAGTAGCAGAAAATCAGATATAGTCTGTGAAATAAATTTGTATCCCTTCTATCAGGTCCTATAAAATAACAAGTGTATAAGCCAGCATTTCCAAACTTTGTGAAACCATTCACCAATGGTGAAGGCAGTTGGGATTTTTTTCAATGAACCAAGAGAAATGAGTCACCAGGACTGTTAACAAATGTGAGGCAGTGTGGTGGAATCAGGCTCTCGTCAAAATAATCAAAGTCAAGAAACTTGCATTTTTCTGCCGGTTTGTGAATTCTTATCAATTTTTTGTTTTTTCGCTCAACACCTTTCATGGTGTTAAAACGTTGATTAAAGGCACAAAGAATGTAAATTTTCAGTTACCACGGACTCTTAAGCTAAGGAAATAACTAATCTTTGGCGGCCATGTTTTCACCAACTTTACCTCTGAAAACAAGTGACCCCCACCTCCTTCTTTCGCAAATATCTCGACTTGTATTCAAGGTAAATGGACATTTTTTTTATCAAAGTAAAGACAAATGAACAAGCTTTAAGATGATACCAATAACTCTACAAGCCCAAAAATTGACGAGAGCCTGATTCCACCACGCTGCATCACAAATTGTGCTTGAGAAGCACAGTCCAACTTGTGCAAGACAGAACTGTAAGGGAGCCAGAAAAATATTCTGTCTAAGCCTTTCATCATCATAACAATAATCCTCATTCAGCAATAGTTCATAAAACAAAGAAGTACCTGTGAGAAAAACTGACGGAGCTATCCACCGTGCCCCACTTGAAGCACAGAGAGTTGCAGTAGCGCTTCCATCCCTCCAGGAACACCGTGGACCAGATGAGGTTGAACACGGCAAAAGTGGCCTCCCGATACATGCTGGAGGGGGAGAAGAAGTAGATAACCCCGATGACCGCGGGCGGCACCAGCGAGATGCTGTAAATGCCCAGGAAGGAGAAGTAGAGAGCGATCTTCACCCCAAAATATTCCTGAATCTTTTCTGTGAATCAAAAATACAACAAAAAAAACGGTAAGTAAAACAATGATCTTGTAAAACGAACAAGTGGCTACTTTGTAAAGTTTTAGTCAGAGTTTTACGCACTTGCCACACAATAAGGTCATATAAGTGCAGAAAATTAGAGGTGTTACAAGAGAGTAACAATCACAAAAAAAGGAGGGGTGATAAAGACGATAGATGTTTGATAGGAAAGAAGGAGCAAACCACACCAGAGCACCCGCCAACCACCCACATGCCTCATCTTTGATTCAGCAACACTGACACACACACACACACACATACACACACACACACACACACACACACACACACACACCCACATACACACACCTTAAATGTCTCTTTTTCTTAACTATATCCCAAAAATTCAACAAGAAACAAGTGAACAAAGATTTGAACTTGTGAATGACATCTTAGAATAAACATCCCAGTCTGCCCACACTGAAATGGACCCTCATGAAGAGGGGCGGGGAAGCATGGAGCACCTAGTCTTCCAAAGAGCACAGTTCTACATTCAAGAAATTCAAGTAAGTAATCTTAGAATAAAATCAGTTCCTGCTTTGCCTTTGAAAAATGGCCAAAATTCACAGAATAAGTATAAAATAACCATTACCCAACATATCTACATCTTACTACACTTGTGTTTAAAGCTTAATTCCAGAAGTATAGTGACTTGTCATTACCAATAGGCTGTGTCTTGAAGTAATTCTTCATGGTGTACCATTCGTCCCCTAGTCTTTTCAGCTTTTCTTCTTCATGAAGAGGGAACAAGTTGCTCACAATGTTTCGGCTTAGGTACTTCTTGACTGGAAAAAGAAAAGATGCTAGAAATCAACATCCATGCCATTTTAAAAAACAACATTGTAACCCAAAATTAATAAATAATTTAACACTTTGCCATCAGATTTTGGGGAAAATCCGAAGAAACTGGGTGGTAAAAATCGCCACTCGGTGAGACGAGGTGGCAAAGTGTTAAAAAATATGATACAGGCAATTTTAAAAATAAATCTCCGGTAAAACTCCTGCACTTTCAACGAAGATAAAACTACAATATCAAACCAATTTTTTAAAAACTTTTTCTGTAGAAACATTCCTGAGGCCAACACGTTAAAATCAGTTGGGTTTTTTTGTCATCACCACATTCCCCAATATTCCCATAATTTTATACAACTAGCAAATCTTAGAGAAAGAGTGAAATTTGCTGCATTTTTTCAGTCATTTTGGCGTTTACGTTTTGGCGAGAGCACGCTTTCGTCTGCAAGATTAGACCCATATCTATCAATTATTATTGCTTGTAAGCCTAACAGTAACATAATACTAGCAAATTTGGGACCGATATCAAAATTGAAAACACAAAACTTTGTAGATGATAAACTTGGTTGAGTGGACCTGATTCCCTTTATCAGTTGAGTGAAATATCTGTGAATTTCCAAGACGCTACTCTCTTAAAATATTCAACTAAAAACAAACAGCATACTCTCTGATGTTTGTTTTCAAGAGGTTTCCGAAGCCATTGGATGCTGAACATAGTGACAACATTATTTATACAACTATCTAACAAGAAAAAAGTAATATAGAAATATCGTACGGGTTCAACACTTTTTTCAACATTGAAAGATATTTAAGAGGCAGGACCTCTGAATTGACGCCCATCTCTGACTGCAAGTAGCCAAAATAGGCACAGAACCTTGACAACTCAAAACAACCATAATTTGTATAGTATTAGTAAGAGTTTTTCGGCACTTGCAACAGAATAAGGTCATAAAAAAGCCGAAGAGGTGTTACAAGAGAGTAACAAATACAAAAAAAGAAGAAGGGGAGATAGAGAATATAGATTTTTTTACAGGAAAGAAGGAGCAAAGCACACCAGAGCACCCGCCAACCACCCACCAACCGTACTACAACAACGCCTCATTGGAGAATCAAACAAGAGTCACCCACAACCTAACCCAGCAGGACACCAACTGAGATAATAGATAATAATACACACAAGACAAAGGTGAAAAAACATCCTATACTTAAAATATTTACATAATTATATAGTTTTCAAATATTGCGATACTCACTGATACTCTTGCCAGGGTAAAGGCTGTTCTTGGGATAACCCGGTATGAAAGTCTCCTCCTCCGAGGCGCGCAAACTCTCCATACCTTTCAAAATAACCCGCTGTTTTTCTGCTGTCGTCAAAAACCTGTCAAGGTCCTCTGCAGGTATACGGAAAAAAAGATCAAACCTCAATATAATTAGACCAAGGGCAAGGCACATCCTCAGCATCATTCCACACCCGCCCAAGTCAGTTTCTGAGGGATTCCCCAATAAAGCCAACGTCTTTGTCTTAATAAAGATATCAAGAGGCATCTTCTTACAAAACATAATTTTGCTGTGTTTCAAAATGTTCTTCCTTATTTTGTTTTAGTAGTTTAGTTTTTGTAAGTGTTTTACAACACTTGCAACACAATAAGGTCATATAAGTGTCGAAGATTAGAGGTGTTACAAGAGAGTAACAAACACAAAAAAAGAAGGAGGAGAGATAAGGACGATAGATGTTTGATAGGAAAGAAGGAGCAAACCACACCAGAGCACTCGCCAACCACCCACTTCCTTATTTTGATTTGAAAATCAACAAGTACCCAAAGTCCTGGCTTTTATCTGGCTGCTCAATTTTTTTCTTCGATTTTCTCAAAACTTTCAAAAATGATATCAGGCTCTTTGTGGAACAACGTTTATAAAACATAACTTTTGTTTTAGTAGAGGCATTTCAGCGCTTGCAACTGCATAAAGTAATATGAGCGCTAAAGGGTGGATGTCAACAGTGAAGACCTTGGAGGGAATCAGACTTACTCTGCTCACCTCTCTAGCTTCAACAGCACAAAGTCTGCTTCGACGATCAAGGCACCCCAGAAATAGCGGGTCACAAGAGTGTGACAAACATACAAAAGAAGTAGAGGATAAATGACGATAGATTTAGGAAAGAAAAAGCAGCAGTTCCCTGTTGCAGTTCAAGCACAATTATGAGCATGCCACTGATGAATCAGCCCATTTACAATTATAATTCTACTGAGCATAAGAACTCGAGATGTCAATGTCCCCCCTTTGGGAATGGCCTAAAGACACTTTCAAGGGGTACATAGCTCTGATAACCCAAGCAGTAAACATATTCCGGGCAAACAAACCTTGCAAATTTTAACATAGTAACATGTTTTACGTCATTTATCAGAATTCCATGACCACCAAAACAAATTTACATAATGCATACAAAGGGTAAAAAAATAGGTGTTTAAAGAAATACATATTTGATTAGTCCATAGTTTTATTGATCCCACTGCATTAAATCAAAATAT